GTGTATGGATATACATTTGAAAGCTATAAAGAACTAGGTGTCAGGATCCCCAATATTAAGTGGGTTCATATGCAGCAGGGCTGATCAGGTGTACTTCCAAAGGTTGCTACACTACCACTCCCATTATCTCTCATCAACAGGAGTGATGGGAACTGCAGTCCAGTGTTGTCTGGAGGATCATGTATTCATCACTCTGTCTTTGTGACTGTGTCACCCCCATGTATCTGTGCGAGTGTTAAAATCAACCTCCTCATGGTCCTGGCACCGTCACAAGCACAGTTGATAGGAACGAGGGAGAGGGCCTTCTTGGTGGTCACTCCCCAACTTTGGAACGCCTTCCACAGGGAAATCAGGCAGCCCCCCACAATGTCCTCCTTCTGTTGGGATTAAAAGACTTGGATGTTTAAACAAGCCTTTGAGAATGTAAAATAGCCCCAATGGCCCACAATTAATGACACAGCACGACACTTTCATCCCATGCCCTTGTTCCTTAGTACAATTTGCACTATCCCATTACCTTGTCTTCTTTATATGACTCGCTGCAGTTGTCACCATAGGTTATTGGGCGTTGTTTTGAGTTTTTAAATTGTTGTTTTTATATGCTGTTGGTTTTACTTTTTTATATTGTGCTGTGTGTTTATTTTCTTCATTGTTTTTAGGCACTTTGTGTCATGTGAAAGCTGCCACGAGTCCCTTTGGGGAGATGGAGGTGAGGTACAAAAATAAAGTTATCATCATCATTATCATTATTATTACTATTATTATTACAATGGGACTACTACTATACATTGTTTTCTATGCATTTGAACATTGTTTTTATATAAATTATAATTCAATCACTAAATATTTGCTGTTCTTTCAGAGCAAACTCAAACCAGCAGACTGCTTCCCTAAGCCAGCCTTGCATCCAAGAAAGATGTCTTTCATGTCTTTATAAGGCATAATTATAAAATCACTTGATGACGAAAGTGAAATGGTATGGCTAAATCTGAGGGGGAGCGTAGCTGTTGCGTGGGGGGGGGGGGCAAAGTGGAAATGCATAGACATCTAGCATGCAAAATATGGATGTTTACGTGTATGAGAAAGTTTGGAGTAGTTTGCCTTGGGGATGCTACACAGTTAAACCTAGTGACTCTAGAACAGAGCTTGCCAAACAGTTCACTCCCTTTCGACAAGCATCATTTCATGACACAGTAATTCAGTTTTCACTAGCAAACCAGAAGTTAGACAACCCCTTATAAGAGATATGGACACATAAATTGTAATAATGGAAGACATGGAAACACAATGTATCCCATGAAAACCTTACTCTCTCTCTCTCTCTCTCTCTCTATATATATATATATATATATATACCCATACATACCCATACATACATACATAATACATGAGAGATTTATTGCTTATTTCATATAAACTCGGGGGTTTCTTATTACCCACATTCTCTCTCTCTATATATATATGTATATATACACATATCCATACATACATACATAATACATGAGAGACTTATTGCTTATTTCATATAAACTCAGGGGTTTCTTATTACCGAACATTCATGCAACATCCATACACACTGAATCCAACAGGCGAATGTGTCATGACACACAGTTTGGAAATTTCTGCTCTAGAATATAGTAACAGGACCTCAAATCACTTAAGTCAAAAGGGGTATATTATATTTAATATGCTTATGTAAGTGATTTGAACCAATTGGATTCTGAGCTAAAAGCCACCTCCCTATTCCTCTTGCTGTCTGTACTGTTTCTGATGTGAAAAAAGCCAAGAAATTGAGATAATGCGATGTCCGTCATAAAGGGATGAACAAACCATTCCAACTAATTCAGAGCACGGTATGTCAAAGAGATATGCATACAGCCTGTCTAGACTCCAGACAATAGGCAAACACAGACAATACTGTCAATGCAGGTATTTCCAGCATCTGCCAGATTACTCAGGAAGAGAAAATACATGCACACACACCAATAAATAAATAAATAAATAAAACTGCCGGTTTCTGTAGCAGAAATTGGAGCATAATGACTTTCGACAGTTTAGCAATTATGATAACGATACCGGCAAGATGTTTCTGCAGCCATTTTTCCAGCAAAAAGCTACTCCCGCAAAAGCGCAAGCCGGCCCAAGATATGAGTCATGCCCAAGCAATTTCGCTACAGGCCATAAAAATCACTTTGTGTGAGTTAAAGATAAATCTGTATATGTTCTATAATATTTCCCTACTGTGGCGAGATGGAGATCCCAGTATCCTATCACAGATAATGACAAAAAACAAATTCTGTCTATAAAAGCTGATTGCTCCAGCAGTCACCCTTAACTGCTCCAAGAATGGTAATGCAGACACTACGTTTTAGGCTGCATTCAGCCACAAAGAGACACATTCCATCAAGTGCACACCATACTGACTTCAATTTAGTCAGATTTTCATATGTAGTGGGGGGAATTCAGAATAGCTTTCCAACACACTACATTCTGCCTGATAATTTCCATTACATCTACTCGTCACCCTACAGGCTTCTGCCATTCCTTTCCAAACCCGCCGTTTCAAATTTTCTTACATCAATACCCAGCGTACTCATTCAAGCTACAATATCATGGACTGATTTTATTCCCTATCTACAGGAAAGGTTACAGGATGAAAGATGCCCGTGACAGCTAGTATAATAGAATGACTAAGATATTGAGCCCTAAACCAAGAAGTCCTGAGCACAAATCTTACCCCAGCAATGAACTCAGTGGGAGAACTTCAGCAACACATTCCAACTCACCATTGAGGACAGCAGTGCAGGACAGTTGCTTTTTTGGACTACAGTTCCCAGAATTCCCCAGTCAAAAAAGAGGACTAGATAGAGGATAGAGTCTTAAAAGTACCCTTCCTAAACTTTGGCACTGATGCAACTTACACTATTGTAGTAGGAATTATAGCCATCATAGCACTGAAGTGCTTAAATGCTCAGAAAGTATTTAATATAGAGACCAAAACCCTTTAATGGGCTGTTTCTGTGACATACTTTCAGTACTGACTTTTGCAACTACTTTTTGAAAATTGAAAATCTAACAGCTGTGTATACAATTTACTGTATATACTCGAGTGTAAGCCTAGATTTTCAGCCCCCTTTTAGGTTGAAAAAGACCCCTTCAGTTTATACTTGGTGAGGGTCCTGGTGGGAAGGCATGGGGCTGAGAGGAGGGATTTATTTCAGCCCCACATCTTCCTGCCAGGACAACCATCTCTCCCCACAGCAACCCAGCTTTCCTTCCTCTCCTCCTCACTCAGCACCAGTCCTTCTCACTTTTCTTTATTCATGTACACACAGCATTTTCCCCAAACTGTAAAGTTAAAATAAACTATGGTGATATTGGAAGGGTACATAAGCACATTTACAATAATAATGATTTAATCTGAGTTGGACAGTCTTATCTTAAATTACAATGTTATGTAAATATTCAAAAACATTTAACCTAGTGATGCCTCAATTAATGGAATTTTATTGGTATCTATTTTTATTTTTAAATGTACCAGTAGCTGCTGCATTCCCCACCCTTGGCTTCTAGTCGAGTCAATACGTTTTCCCTGTTTTTTCTGGTAAAATTAAGTGTCCCAGCTTATATTTGGGTCAGCTTATACTCGAGTATATCCGGGTAACTCATTTATTGGCTTGGCATTTTGTTTTAATATATTACAACAAAAGTGACAAAACACACACACAAATAACATTTAGGGTTAAGGCTCTACTTGTACCCTTTGCCCCCCTGGGACAGGAACCAGGGCAATAGAAGACAGTATTTGTAAAATATTGAATATGCATATTCAATACACTTACCTTTATTGGTGCAGATGTATACATACTTACTGTCATTTAAAAAGGAATGCGATACGTCTCAAAACAGATAGGATGTAGCTGCTCAGTCTACTCTCCAAGTAGTTAACAACTGATTAGCAACTTCAAGGCCATTCTCCCTTCTTGTGATTTTGTCCCACATTAAATGAGATAGCCCTTTAGACTGTTACCTGACTGCCCTCCCATTAGAGGACTGTCCTATGTAGAGTAGAACACATGGCTATCCTATCCTAACAGCTCAAAATTGGTATTTTTGTTTTTTAAGAAGCCTCAGGAATATATGAGAAATATTTAGTGTTCAACGTTAGACACTGTACTTATTTTCAATAACTTTAATTTTCTAGAACTTCTGGAAAGGCAGAGGATCTGCATAGTATCCAGGGCAGCAGAAACAGAACTTGTAACATTACCACACTGACCAAATCCAAACAGCAGATCCTTCCAAGGAGAGCATCAGCACGAGAATGACTTATTCTGCAGGCACAGATATACAGGTGGTATGTTTGTTTATGCAGGCATCCCTCCGTATCCACGGATTCTGTATCCACAGATTCAACCATGCATGGCTTTAAAATATCTTTGAAAAATTCCAAAATCTTGAATTTGTCATTTTATATAAGGGACATCATTTTACTACACTATTATACATAACGAGATGCAAACATCCACAGATGTTGTTATAAATAGGGGTAGACACCACACGTCCACTCTACATGCAATTTCCTATCCACCTCAGGATATTAATGTGAAAATTGATCTTGGGTGAGGATATATATAAGATATTCAAAGGCACTCGGCAAGGTTTTTAAAATAAATAGACAGCTGTTAACTACTCCCTACTCTATGAAATAATAATCAAATAATAGACAAAGACTAGCCACATCACATTACTTTGATACAAGATCTTTACACACAATTTTGCAATCAAGTTGACACTACTAAACAGGAACTGGGGAGGGCTGCATGTCCCTGAAGTCAATGGAGAAACTCCTTCTGATTTGAAAGAAGCTGAATTGCATCTTGAATTGACTGACTTGGCCACTGAACTGATGAAAAAGCTTCTAGCTCCAATGTAAAATGCCTGTTATTTGAAAGAGAAAGCACACATATACAGAGTTATCTCCAAAGGAGATAGCATACCTCTCCAACGTCATAGACCCAGATCCTTCCTTCCGAATCCCCGACTGCTACTTCTTTCCCAGCTTGGGCCCAACGGACACGATTGAGGGCAGAGGCTCCTTCAATAGTCACACTAGCAGTTGGAACCTATAAAAGACATTATTCTTTTAGGAATGATGACAGAAGTGCTGTATATTAAATAGACTACTTGAATCATCATCACCATCACAGTTGTTTAGGCACACAGTATACTAAAGGAGGAAGAGAAACAAAAAGGGAAGACTTAAAACAAGTATATAAAATGATTCACAGGAACAACCCAAGGACACCTTTTCTTGAGGGGCTTAATGTCAGCCTTACAGCTTTCCTTGCCAACCATTTTTTAAATTATTTCCCACTTATCCTAATATGCAACTCTTCTCAAAAAGGAAAAATGTGTGTGTGTGTGTGTGTATACACACCAGTAGTTCCCAACCTGTGGTCCATGGTCCACCAGTGGTCCATAAGAACAAAAACCACGCAGCAATGAGAGTGACTGGTTTTTGCAAAATCCTCTTATAGTGCCAAGGCAACGGGGATGTCGGGAGAGGAGAAGCTGACTACCCACAAAAATTACTACTACCACATCAGCTCTACAGTATTAAATATAGTTTTCTGTGGGCGAGCAGATGGTGGCATATGTTCTGTATCAGAAACTAGAGCTGATGTGGTCTATCTAATGCCCCTTTCTGAATCAACACCCCAAATAAACAATCTGAAACTAAAGTTGACCAAAAATCGATTTGTAACCCTTTTGGTACTAATGTTGGCAAGTGGTCCCGGGTCAAAGTGGTCCTTGGTAGAGTGGTTCCTGGTCAAAAAAAAAGATTGGGAATCACTGATACATACACATACATGCAATGTAAATGTGAGGGAATAACTAACTCCAAACAATAATTAAATCTGAAGCCTGATACATGTGCATGATCCCCAGGAGGTACAGTGGGACTCACTTCTCATTGTACGTATACGAACACATTTGCACTTTTTATTTTAGCAGCATCAATCATTGGAGAATGTTAAGTCATACTTATTTTAATGTATATAATCATTTTTGTGCAATCATAAGTCCAGGCAGACTAGTAGCAATCTCCAAATATTGTGAGTATACCAACAAGAATGATGATATTCTTGTTCTAGGCCTTTGAGATCTGAACCTGGCAGGAATGTTTACAATAAATATTGAGATATGAAAAAAGTGTTGCATTTTGCTCCCCTCTCATTTCAAATTGTTATAGCCATCCAATTTTACAAATCAAATATTAATTCAATACTGTAGTCAGGAAGTCACTGAGAATAAAATGGAACTGTTTTGGATATCTCACTGATTCATCATAAGACCTGGGGATCACAACCAGACACAGTGAAGACATCTGCCCTTGCACTATGCTACTCTGCTGCTGAGTATGCATGCCCAGTGTGGAACACATCTCACCATGCTAATACAGTAGATGTGGCTCTTAATGAAACATGCCACATTATCACGGGGTGTCTGAGCCCTACACCACTGGAGAAAGAAACAACTTCTGGCAAGAGAACTCACCAGATTATACCACCACCAAACAACATTGTGGTATGAAGGCAAAATTTGGAGAATGTTGTATGGATCTTTCCCTGTGTCGCGCTCCTCTCTAAGCTTCATCCAGTCCCTAACTCAAGAGATTCCCAAACATTTGATGTTGGTGGCACACTTTTTAGTCAAGCATCATTTTGTGACACAGTAATTCAATTTTACCAGCAAACCAGAAGTTAATACAACCCCTTGTCAAAGATATGGACATATACATAAATTGTAATATGGGGACACCACATATCTCATGAAAGCTGTTTATTTATTTATTTTTAAGTATATGATTTATTGCTTATTTCAGAGGTTTCGCTTAATGTTTAAGAGACATACCTTCACACTGCAGCTGAAACACTTATTATTATTATTATTATTATTATTATTATTATTATTATTATTAATCACACTTTTTCCCATGAGTGGGATTCGAAGCGGTGTACAATGGTTAAAAAACACAGGTTACATAACATACAAGTTAAAACAAAAAATATCATAAACTAAATAAACAAATCACACTACATAAACCATATGTAACAAATCAATAAATTACGACATATTTATTTATTTACCGTATTTATATACCGCCTTTCTCAGCCTGAAGGTGACTCATATACAGTTTTAAAATTCCCTGACTCTGACCCTGTGTGTTGTGACACTAATGTGCTACAACACACAGTTTGGAAAGCTCTGCCCTAACTTAGAAAGCTCTGACCTCATCCAAGTTGCTAACAGCCTGGTATGAAATTCATGAATGCCAACGTATTTGAATTTAACATGAGAAACAGCCGGTTTAGCTGATTCAGCTTAAATCGCTGAGACCATTCTGAATCACGGCTACAGTTCTGCAAGGCTACCATCTCCAGTCCAAAAACCATGTATAATATCCAGTGATTTCAGGACAGCACAATTTTATAGTTGGGCTTGAAATCTCAGTCAGCATAAATCCCACTACTTTGGTGAATTAGGCTGTAATTGTTGGTTGTGTGTGTGTGTGCTATATTGTTTTCATTATTATTAGACTGAGATTTTCCTCTGGTAACAAACAGGTCAGATGTTTCCATTAGCTTTTAAGAACATCTTGAAGAAAGAAGAACATTACAAGCTAAAGAAAACGATTTGACTAAAGCATACCTTCCTTTGATTTCAGTGGGAGTGATTTAGGGGCTTGCTTAACCCTCCAACCGAAATCAAGAGGGACTCAATATGCTTAACTCGGGCTGGACTCTGGCCCAATACTTACAAGAGGGGGAGAAATAAAATCATTATTTTTTTTAAAAAGTTCCAAATTGCTGGGCAAAAGATCAAAAGACCAATCACTTCCAGTTGTTAAAGAGTTTTCTCTTTGGCTGCTACTGCAGGTCTCTGATTAGTTTTTCCTGGTAGTACGCGCGCACTAAATTTGCTCTCCGGAGGAAATTTTCCTTAAAAAACAATTCAAAAATGGATCTGGCGTAGATCAATGGTCCAAATTCTACGACTATAATCCTGTTCATAGTTCCCTGTGCTTTAATTGCAGTGATAGCAAAGCAATTTCATCATCAATCACCAGATTTGAAGCATGTATTGAAAACAAAAGCAAATAAAACAGAGCCCTAGACTCTCCTCTATCCTAGATCTGTTTTGGAAAGGAATGGCAATCTTTGCCTCTTTTTTTTTTAAGGAGACAAATAAAATGTTATATAACAAGATTTTAAAAAGCCCAGGATTGTGTCTGCTAGGTTTACATAGAGAAAACAATAATCAAAAGGACCAAGAAATATATCAGTATAGCTTTGCAGCGGCAAGATTGACCATAGCCAAAGACTGGAAAGGGGAAAATGTCTAACCAAAAAGGATTGGAGGGAAAGAATGCGAGAATATATGCTAATGGCCAGACTAACTTATAACAGGAGGAATAAAAGCAGTGAGGACTTTTTAGAAAGTAATATAGAGGAGCTCCATTAGGAATTTAGGTTTACCATGAATAAGGATGGATAAATAGGCTTAAAGGCTTCATAGTGTTTCGGTGTTGGAAGTCATGGTGAAGGGTGCACGGGTGTGGGGAAGAGGTTTTATTTTGTGTGGGATAAGGGTTCTGGGATGAGTGTATGGCTGTGTGTAAAATGCCGTGTGCTGATTTTCTGAATGTTATGGAAAAAAATTGAATAGAAAGCTTTGACTGAAAGCAGTGGATGACATGCAGAAATAGCAAGTCTATATGTTTCAAGTTAAGTAACTGATAATAATTAGTACTCAATGTCAAAATTAACTGGTTGATTAAGGTAGATAGGTATGCACACATCAAAAATATTGTTACATGATTATATCTGCCACGATTTGCTTTTCTGTTATGTGCCATAACCAAAATAAACAGTTTAATTTTTTTTAAAGACAATCTTTGCTTTTAGCCATCTTTTGGTATTGTCAGTAAAAGCTAGTAATGGTAACACCTGTGGGGATGTCTTCCTCTCTTTTCCCTTTGCCAGAAGAAAAGGCTTTGGAGAAATTGCCCCTCCCTATTCATCCTGTTCATCTGAACACTTTATAATTAAGCAGGCTCTGTGGCTTCCTGCTCCAAACACTTCAAAAGACCTCCCGTCTCCACTTGACAATCCAGTTTTCACCATTTCGCCCTCCTTACCTGTCTAAGGTGATTTACGGAAAACAGCAGTAAAAACTTGCATTCGCTTTTAACTCAAATGCATCTCATAGTTCCAAGAAAAGATGACGTTAACACCACCAAAAAAGAAAGAAAATACTATTGGCAGGTCTGGTTTTTTTGCCGTGTTCATTGGGTCGATTCTCCACTGAACTGCATAGATAAATCCACTACCTTCTTAGTCTTTTATGTACAATGAATTAAGCTCTGTCTCGCCTTAAAAGCTCATGCCTCGAGCCCATATGGCGCCAATGCCCTTTGTGGGTTCTCTGCCTTCCTCGACGAACGCGGCTATTCTGCAATTAGGAATCTTAAATTTATTGTCATGATTATTCATTTCTGTAGCATTTTCAGCTCACAAACCCATTTACAAGGTTCGCCTCTTTCATCTGAACTGCCTCGTCGTCACTATCATATAATTCTTACAGGATGTGAACTGGGTATTTGCTGGGCAGAAGGCTCCGTAATATATTTAAGGCTTTGCGTGATACAATTATTTGAGAGCTGACGTTCACATCTCAGCTGTGACATTTAGAACTTTCAATCACAAGACTGTTCTCGGAGGCCAGGAAAAAGAAAAGCAAAAGTTCAAGGGACAATTTCTGTAAAATCAAAATTACGCACAGTTATTTCACCACTGGAAAGGAGGCGAAACCACAGGCCTTTTGAATCCAGACAAAAAGAACGACATGAGACAAAATTGTAAAAAGAGTCACAAAAGAAAAGAGCAGCTATGCTAAGCTACGTTCTGTACATGAAAAATCAATATATCTTCTCACAAAGCTTTCTGACTTCACTGTTTCATTGATGCTAAACAGGGCAACAGTGTTTTCAATCTATGGTTTCTATTTTTACATTTCTCCCTGCTTCTGGTATGGAAGCCTTTGTCCTCGTATTTCAGAA